AACACCAAAGGAGTTGTCAAACACTCAATTAGAAGACATTTCAAAGATTGTGTGAATATCTACAAGCCTAAAATCATCACTCTTATGGAAACCCACATTAGCGGGAGTAAATCAGATAAAATCATCAACAATATGGGTTATAACAGTTCTTTTAGAATCGAAGCTCAAGGACACAGTGGTGGCATTTGGGTTTTATGGGATAATTCGGTGGAAGTAAAGATTCTAAATGTTTCTAATCAGTATATTCATGCTGGTTTCAGATTCATTAATAGTAATTATTGGGAATACTTTACTGCATTGTATGCTGGCCCTAACCCTAATATTAGAAGTAAGCTTTGGGAGCTTTTGTCGAAGCTTAACCCTCACAATAATGCTCATTGGATCTTAGGAGGTGACTTTAATTGCATCCTAAGAGCTGAAGAAAGAATTGGCGGTAGCAACCGATATAGAGCTGTGAGTAAACTCTTTCAAGACTTCATCTTTAACAATGAATTAATGGATATTAATTATCACGGAGATGAATTTACTTAGCGAAGAGGTAACCTTTGGCAAAGACTCGACCGCTGCTTGATGAACATGAAATGGCTTGAGTTATTCCCTTATACTAGAGTGCAACATCTTGACCGTATTGGTTTAGATCACTGTCATCTCCTCTTTCACACTGATCAACTTTCCAATGACATCAAAAATAAACCTTTTAAATTCTTGGCTGCCTGGATGGAGCACCCGGATTTTGAAAATTTGTTGAAAATAGAATGGGTAAAACACAATGACTTATTAAAGAGAATCAATCATATCAAGTTTAGCTTAAGATTTTGGAACGGAGAAACCTTTGGAAGCATTAATCAAAAGAAGAAAAGAATTATCTCGCGCTTGAAAGGTATTGATAAGGCTCTACGCAAATACAACTCTACCAGTCTGTCTAACATTGAGTCCGAGCTAAATATTAAGCTTGATATTATATTGAGATATGAGGAACTTCTCTTGGCTCAAAGGGCGAGATGTAAATGGATTGCTCATGGTAACAAGAACACGAAATACTTCCACTCTTGTGCAATCGCGAAAGATAAGATAAAACAAATTATGACTCTTAAAATAAACTCGGATGGTTGGTGTGATGATCAAGAAATTATTAAAAAGCATGTTAAGGAATTCTATGAGAAACTGTTCACTAGGGATCTTTCGAGCAATCAAAATTTGGATGATCAAAGACTTTTCCCTGAGCTGAAAAAAGATCATTGGGATTGGTTGGATAAATCGGTTGACAACAACGAGATTAAAAAGGCTTTATTTGTCATGAGCCCTCTCAAAGCTCCCGGATTAGATGGCTTTCATGCTACCTTCTACCAAAATAAATGGGACACGGTTGGGGAGAAAGTTTGTCACTTAGTCAAAAAATGCCTTAATGGGGGTCAGATTAATGAAGAGATTAATAGAACAAGTCTGGTTTTAATTCCTAAGGTAGATAATCATGAAAGAATTACTCAGTTCAGACCCATTAGCCGTTTTCAGGTTATCTACAAAATTATTATGAAAGTTATTACTAACCGCCTTAAACCTATTCTGCCTATTGTTATCTCCAATAGTCAAACGAGTTTCATTCTGGGAAGGGTGATTACTGATAATATCATTCTTGCTCAAGAGGTAATTCATTCTATGAAGAAGAAGAAAGGAAGGAAATGATGAATCGCCATTAAAATTGATTTAGAAAAAGCTTATGATAGACTGGACTGGAATTTATTAAGAATACTATGGAGAAATTGGGACTGCCTAACAGGATTATGAGAGCTATAATGAACTGCATAAGCTCTAAGACTATTCAGATTAATTGTAACGGAGAACTTATCGAGTCTTTCAAGCCTTTTAGAGGGATAAGACAGGGATACCCTTTGTCACCTTACCTCTTTGTTATCTGCATGGAAATATTAACATAAGAAATTACTTTAGCTGTGGAAAAAGGAAGCTGGAAACCTATTAAACTTTCTAAAAATGGTTCTAATATTTCTCACCTTTTCTTTGCAGATGATTTAATTATTTTCGCGGAGGCTGATAATTCTCAAATTGAAGTTATTCAGACTACTCTAAACAGATTCTGTTGAAGCTCAGGGCAAAAAGTTAACCTACAAAAATCCAACATTTATTACTCCAACAATGTTTGCACAAACCAGAAACTCCATTACAAACAATCTAAATATCAAGGAAGTGGAAAATCTTGGAATATATCTGGGAGTTCCTATACTGCACAATCGAATCAATAAACACACACCTACAACAGTATTATCCAAAGAGTTAAAGACAGACTCACAAGATGGAAAGCTAAGGCACTTTCTCTGGCAGGAAAAAATATGGTTGCCAAATCGATTCTTTCTTTAATTCATGCATACACTATGCAATCAATCTTAATTCCCAAAGGAGTGTGCAATGAGCTGGAAAGACTTACTAGGAATTTCATCTGGGGAAATACGAATAAACAAAAAGGATTACATCTTGTGAACTGGGACACACTCTGCAAACATGTAAAAGGATGAGGACAAGGACTAAAGAATTTAAGGAGCCAAAATAAGGCTTTTATTTTTAAACTTGCTTATAAACTCATTAATATACCTGATCTTCTGTGGGTGCAGGTGATGAGAAGTAAGTACAAAATGAAGGAAGTCCTACATGAGGAGTTACAAAAAAAGGTGGATCACAACTATGGAATCAGATATGCTCATTATGGCCTAGTTTTAAACATAACATATGCTGGAATATCTGCAATGGAAAATAGGTAGAATTCTGGCATGATAAGTGGTTAGACAGTAAAGAGCCCCTATCTAGTTTATGCAATCAATCAAGGGAAGTTGAAAATGACAAATAAAAAGTGAAGGATATGATCAACCAAAACAGTACCTGGAACTGGAATAAAATAACAAAATTTCTCCTGAATCAAGTCCTCAATATGCTGAAAGCTACACCGCCTCCAGTAGATGAGTTCCTGACTGACTCTCCTGGTTGGATCATCTCAAAAAAAGGGTATTCTCGGTGAACTTTACATACAAATGGATAGTAAATATAAACAACATTATGGATGGAAAACTTTGGAGCAGTATTGCTAAACACAAAAACATACCCATGATTAAAACTTTCTTATGGCTGATTGGAGGAAACAAAATCCTGACAAACTCGGAAAGAAAACGAAGACACATGAAGATGGATGAGCTGACGTATGTGTGGATACGAAACCGAAGACATCAACCACACTCTGAGATTTTGTCCTAAAGCCTTAACTATTTGGGTAGAATTGATCGATCATAGGAAAATAGACAGATTCCTAAGCAAGAGTATGAGGAATGGGTTATCGAAAATCTTGAAGCGAGCCAATCCCCTAATGCAATAACAAAAAATTGGCTTACTTTCTTCAATTCTATTATTTGGTTCATTTAGAAGAGAAGAAATCAGGTAGTTTTCGATTCTGAAATGGTTGAGAGAGAATCAATCATCCAACAAGCATATAGACTTACATAGGAGGTTGAAATTTCGAAAACCCTAAAGCCTGAGATTAATCAAACCAGAAGGAATACCCAATACCGATGGCAAAAACCAGAGATTAGCTACTGTAAAATAAACACTGATAGAACAAGAAACCAGAATAATGGAGATGCAGCGTGTGGAGCAGTAGCTAGAGATTATAAGGGTAACTGGCTCTGGGGATTTGGCAGGAAAATTGGTCAATGTACCTTATTGGTAGCAGAACTCTGGGGAATTCATGAAGGTTTAAAAATGGCGTGGATGAAAGGAGAAAAAAAATAATCTTGGAATCGGATGACAAGGAAACAGTAAACCTGATAAACAATAGATCTACCGAACACAGACAACTAACAATCCTTCAACACATAGACATTCTGCTCAAAAGAAATTGGGAAGTAAAGATTCAGAACATACTGAGGGAGGCCAACCGCGTCGCAGATATCATTGCCAAGCAAATTAGGAACCAGCAAGAAGATATTGTTTTTCTGCACATTTACCCTAAGGAAGCTGAGGAGCTGATTAGAGCTGATAAAACGGCTTCTAAGAGGCTCATTCACCTGTATTAAACCAATATATATATATATATATATATATATATATATATAGAGTTATGATACACTTACACCTTTATAATATGTAATTAGATACTCCCGTGTATATATATATATATATACATCCAATATACCGTACATAATTGCAATGCATAACCATTTGCAACTTGCAAGATTCCATATCCTACTACCTTCTCTCCTTTCTTTTATTGATTTTTTAATTAAAAAATCAATATTATAATTAATCATAACAGTATATTGATAAAAAGAAATCCAAATTGCATTGAAAGATTCTTGTACTTAGTAGTTAGTCCACCATTTCCCATTCTATGTTCACACATTCATCACCGGACTAAAAAGTCCACAATTTCCCATGCTAAATTAAAATCATGTATGTACGCTTTATTCTTACTGTATAGTGTTTATATATATTATCAAAGACTAAAAATATATTTTAAATATATATTATATTGTAATCATATAAGAGTATTTATAAAAGAAGATATATACAAAGTTAATAAACGATTTTATTGTAATGAGAAAAACATTAGAACACAAACACTCTCTTAAATTTAATTTCAAATAATTTTTTTCATAAAAAATGTTATAATAAAAGTTAATAAAAGATGAAACCCAATATAAATTAATCAAGTATAATGTTTTTTTTAACAAAATAGTCTTACGTTTTAATTAAATTTTACCAACCCTGAAAATGATAAGATAAATACAATTAAAAAACATGTTTATTTAAAACATTATTATTACTTAAAAAGAAGTTGCTATTTTACGACTTATTCAGAAAATATAACAAAATTTAATAATGTATTGGAATTCAGAAAAGAGAGAGATTATTTTTATAACACAAAGTATTATTTTATTGAATAAACTGATATAAAACAAAGTAATTGATAAGCAGACAAAAGGGAAAGAAAAGAAAGGCTCCATTGCTTTATTTCCGCGCTTTCATAGCTTTTCTCGCCAAACAAAACATCCAAACACGAAACTGGGACCCATTTTTTTTATTTTTATTTTTTGAGCTTCAAGCTTCCCAGAATTCAGAGTTCCCTTAGCTTCCCTACCCCTCTCCTATTTTTCCTTTTGTTTTTCTCTAAAAAGCAACAACAGATGCTCTCTGGGTTTTAACTTCTTTCTGCTCAATTTCTGTCAAGGTTTTTTCTCTCTCTCTCTCTCACTCTTTTTATCAGTTTCAGATGCTTTAATTGTTTCTTTTTGGGATTATCTAATTTGGGTATTTATCATTTCTTCAGTCCATGCAACTAATTATGTGTTTTAAGATTGTTTCTTTTTTTGAATAATCTAAAATGGGTTTCTTTATTTGGTTGATTCATGTTTGTTCCTGGGTTGATCTCTTGTTTTCTTTAATGGACTTTTTGGTGTTGATTTTGACGAAAACATGAATCGTTTGTTCTATTCTTTTCTTTTTCGAATTTAAAGGAGGATTAAATTTTAGGTACAATCTTTGATTCCGAATATTGATGCTTGATTGTGTTTATTGGTTTGTTAGCATGGGTTGATTCGTGCTAGTTTTCTGCGTTGATCTCTTGGTTGTTCATGGATTTTATTTTGATGAAAACTTTAATATTTGACTCGTTTTGTTCTTTATTTCATTTTTCGCGGTTGAATTCGAAGGAGAATTAAATTTTATCTGCAATATGGTATTCCGAATATTGATGCTTGATTGCTTTTATTGGTATTTTCATTTCTCACTATCAAAGGAAAGAACCTTTTTGCTAATTATCAACAGAACATTAAAAGTAAAATTGGACAAGCAATTTTTTTTAGGAATATTTCTATTTCCCCATCCCCTCTAAAGGCCAGCTCATTGGTTTTTTATTTGTAGCATCCTAGCTTGCTATGATGATTGTTTTGTTGGCTCCAATCTGATTTTTATTTTCCTCAAAACTGACTTAAAATTTTCCTTCTCTTTTTATTTTACAGCTGAAGAAGTACCTTTTGAGGTAAATTATATAAGGGCATTCAACATTTTGTAAACAGACGAGAGAGAGGTACTGGTTCGTGGAGGTGGTCGGGCTTCTTCGAGCTTAGCTTCCTCTCTCATTGCCCTTTCCTAGCTTTGGAAGTTTTTTTTTTTTGTTGAGGCATATATATAATCAGTACAGTTGAGCTTTAATGACGAGGTTGTGTGGAGAGTTTTAACTGAAGGGAAAAGATTAAAATTTAACATTATGGGTTCTGTTTGTTGCTGCTTGCGCCCTGAGGATTTTGAGGACTATATGAATCCGAACAGTAACATATATAGAAATTGTGTCTGCCTCAGTTGCTTTGTTCAGAACTTCTTACATGTGGTATGTTTTATGATTCTCATTATTAACCATTGGTTCTGACTCCAGTACAATTTCTTCACTCTCTTTCAATGTGTCACTTGAGTTTATTAAAATGGTGGCTTTGTTAAGTATTTCTATCTCTTGTTTTGTGGCACTTTTAGTTTTAGGTTGTCAAAAATTAGGCCTGTCATTGGACATTTTAACTTCTTATTCTATGGCATGTGTGGGTGGGATTAGCTAATTTCAGTCATTTTGTTTGTTGAGGATCATTTCTATTATGATTGCAAGCAAGGTCCTTTGTGAACCTTTCTACTCAGTCCCATGCGTAATTATTTGTGGAAGCTTTGGCAGAGTATTATGGAGGAATGAGATTTGGTGAATGAAACTGTTGAAGGAATGATATACAAGTAGCAGTGGGCTCTTTATATATATATATTATACACACTACTTTTTATCTGCTGATCAATTTACTAAGTCGGTTAAAATTCCGTTATAACATATTATGTGTTTTGAGCTGTGATAAATTACTTATGTGTTTGTGCAATAAGATAGATTAAGGCAACTCACACGTCTCTGTCTAAAAACATTTTTGTTTTAAAAGATCCTCTTAATTTGTTTTGGAGCAAGTGAAACTTCTATAGTGTCCACATCGGACTTTTCAATATAGGAAATTCCATCAGCATTTATATATATTGGCTTTTAGGTGAAAAGGTATCTAATTACGTAGTTGTGGACCTTTAATTACTAAGTTAATTTATGAAATTATCACTTGATTGTTTACATTATGAACAAAGTGTTCCATTAACAGTAGGGACATGGACGTTAACTTGAAGGAGGTTTGATGTTACATGTCTCAACATGATAAAATAAATTATCTTCCATTTGATTAATGGGTTCCAGCCTTTTGATCCTTCTTTTTTTGGTTTTCTTTGTCTCTGTAATTGTAGTATTCCACATTGTTCCGAAGAGGGGAATTGCCTTCTATCCCTTCATCTATTCAAGGGACAGGATCTGTTATCTCTTCTGCGTCTCTAGACAACTCACTTTCTGACATGTACCAATCTCCTCCAAGGCCCTTGCCTTATGATGCTGACACTAGATATTTCCGCTTGCAACGTGGTCTTGTTTCAAGACATGAGAAGGGTTCAAGTCATTCACATGAAGAATCAGAGCCTTTAAGAGCTCAAAATGATGCAGATTCAGGATCTTTGAGTACAGAGGGAAAATGGAATGCCTTTGAACAAGGCTCAAAAGAGCAGCATTCTAAATCCTCACAGAAACTCTCATCAGAAAAAGCACCAGTTGGAATTGGGTACATCTATTCATCGTCCGAAGAAGAGGAGGATGTCTGTCCAACTTGTCTTGAAGGTAAATCTTTTTTCTCAAATTTGAGTGGTGTTTTTTTATAGCAACTATTTTATGCAGTGAAACTTTGTTAGAACTTGCTCAATAGTCTAAGATTTGCTAGAACTTCATAAGTAGGGATGCATTTAATTGCTAAATTTCTGCTTTATCTTGCCTCTCTAACTTGAATACTTTTGCCGTTAATTAGACCCAGATACTACTGACTTGATGATTGAGCAACCTTGATTTAGTAGGGGAACTTGCAACTAATCTGTAGTTTTAATGATAAAATAAGTAGTCCACTTGTATAGGTGTCATTTAAGCCTCTTATCTTTCGTTAGAGTCAATTTAGCGCTCAATCTAGTTTTTTTTAATACCAAAATGACCCTATTTGTTTCTCTTGGTTCCAACAGTGCCAACATTTCACCATCAATTCTAGATTTCCAATCCCTACCATTTCATCATCTCTTCTTATCACTCCTTCATTGCTAAAAAATCATGGTCCTCCCTTTACACTAGCAAACAACAAAAGTATTAAAAAGAAAATATAACAGACAAGAAATCAGTGTTGTCAAGGCGTGCGTCTAGGTGTGCCTGCACATTTTGCCTTAGAATTATTCAAAAAGGCGCCTCAGACCCTTTCAGGCCTGACATGTGCACCTAGGCAGTGCATGCTTTTTGTAAGGAGATATGCATAAAATAGCCTGCCTTTCATTTTCAATTTTTCCATTTGATATACCTTTACTAGCAAGAAAACTATAATATCAAGCTCTATTCTTCCTAATATTTGAGCATTCAACAACAAACATTGATCATAAGGAAATTATGCATATTGGCCAAAAGAAATTGCATTTTTTGTAGATAAACTAGACTCCACTTTAGAGTTTACTATATATCTTAAGCTTTATATGTATATATATATTGCACTTTACTTCACTCAAGGTAGCGTTTTTCTTATGCAAGAAATTGAATCCATTCGCCTCTTCCATTAGTTTGTCTGTAAAATCAAACATCTATAGGAGGAGGTTGAGTTTTCCTCTACTATCCAGTGGAGCTAGCATGTGAAATTATCTGTTGAAAGGTTCAACTCTCAGGGCGGCCATTGTGAACGATATTCACTTTCAAGAATCATTGAGCCTAAGCCTATTTCATTACTCTCAAAGAGCTCGGGGATGAGAGAAAAAGGAGGTGGAATTTCTTACAACTATAACATTTATTATCTTGCAAGACTTAATATTACAGACAGAGAATTCAGTAAGGGGATAGAAGCACATCCTGCGCTCAATATGTCAAAGCAGCTTGTTTATTGTTAATCCTGCCCTCGCCCTTTTGTTAGCAGCTCTTTGATCAACCCAGGAAAGGTGTCTCATAGGTCGTCTTATAATCCAAAAGGTCACTTTCATGGCTTGAATGGGTCAAGAAAAGGACCCTTCAAAGTGATCGTTTTCGGGGCCTGATTTTTTTGAAGCATAATTTTCCACTTTATTTTCAACTATATATATAACAAGGAGTGGAGCTGGAGAGTATCTCTCCCCGGCTAGGCTACTATGTTTTCTTGTTTGAAATTTCGGGTCTGGTCTTCATTGGTATTTGCTTTTTTGTTAGCATCTTAGTGGTTGTTTTCATCTTTCTTATTTGTACCGGACTATTTTGAATTAGCATCTTTATAGTTTCATCCGATTCCAGATGGGGTTGGATCCTTCGTACTAGTGCTTTGCCTTCCATTTAGTGGGTTGGAGTACTATTATTTGCCTAAGTAGTCTTTGTTGCCTATTCAATCGCAGAATAAAGAGAAACCTATTCAGTAGCATATGTGTACCTTACACATCCATCAAGTCCTTTTACCTTATCAATTTGGAGTTTCATGCCTCAGATACAATGCTACCTATAAGGGTTAAAGATTTTGGCGCTCAACCCCAATAAACCCAAATTAACATCCTACCTTCATATTAAAATCCATATTCATCTTAATAAAACCTCCATAAACCCATGAATCCCATTTTAGTTTTTCTAATGGAAATCAAAAATGACTTCAATTGCAACCCTAACCCATTAACTTGTTAAACCTCAAACCACTCATCCATCAAAAACTTGCTTCTCTATTTGACAAAAAAATATTATACGGAGGGCGTAATTGGCTCTAATGAAAAGTAGGGCTTAAATGATTTTTTTCTTGTATAGGCGGGGGTGCTTATTCTAATCATTATGAATAGTTTTTGCTACATCATTTATCTTAAAAGCAAGTACTTCCATAAAAAAATTGATGTTATTACTAATTATGTTAGATTGGGCTTTTAATAGATACATTATCTTCCTTTTAAACTTATCTATATCACTTATGGTGCAGAATATACTCCAGAGAATCCCAAGATAATAACAAAATGTTCCCACCATTTCCATCTTGGTTGCATTTATGAATGGATGGAGAGAAGTGAAAACTGTCCTGTCTGTGGAAAGGTAACTTCTTTTTGCAGTGTTTAGCCATAAATAATCAATCTTCATGGTTATAAACAAACAATAAACCGTGTTTTGCTTGCATTTTATTCAGCTTGATTAGCTATTCCTTGTCTTTCTAGAGTTACAATTTACTAGGATGCTCAAGGTTTAGAGGCTTTTTTGGTTGCCATTTTTTTTCTCTGTTGATGTGGTAAAACTGCATGTGTTTTTTGTTGCTTTATTTCTACTTGTACACGTTAATGGTTTTTATTTTAGTATATGTAGGTAGCTTTTTGTTGAGTTCTCTTTGAATGGATGTGACATGGTTAGGTTTTTAATAAGAATATCATTTCCTCTTTTTCTTATATTAAGTACTTGCTCTCTGGCTGTTAGAAAAAGTATGGAAAGAAAAGCTAATTAAATGTAAGAGAACTACAGAAAGTGGCGTTCCTCTCTTGTTCCAATGGTGGTGAAGCTTTTTCTTTCCCGTTTCCTTTCTTTTTAATTGTCAAGTGGTAATCTAATTTATCCTCAAAATGTCTTCCTTTTAGGGGAGAGCATTTTGTCGGTTTAATCAGTTCGGCATCGATCTGATTAATCGCAAAAAGGGGAACTGATCTAGGTTCATTGGTTAAGTCGGTTTATAATTGGCTTTAACTATCTTAAAAACAAGTTATATATTATTATATAAAAGCTATTTTATATTATATATTACATAGAATAAATGACCTTTCATCTTCTCTGAACCACCAGCAGTAGAGTGCTTGCTTATCCAAATGACAATTCGTAATTTCCATGTCAAACAATTATGTTATCATTGGTTGTAGTTATCCGTGGATGGCTTCCTGTCTTGATTTTTTCTCTTGCAAATCTTGATATCTTCCTTTTTCTGCTATAAACCGACTCTTTTGACATGTATGATGCATCTTAGGCTAAAAAAGTGATGTTTGCTTGGTGACCTTCATGGTTTAGGTTATATTCTATGATGTATATTAGCTAGCAGTAGAAATGTTCCTGTCGGATCAAAAACTGAATGGGAGATATCGTTTGTTATTAGCTGGATGTTGATTATATAAGTATATGAGAGATATTCATGGATTATCCAACTTTGAATTAAGGTCACATGCATGCATGTTAAGCCATACATCAAAATTGGTGTCTAGCTTGATAATATTTTCCTGCTGCTTCCCAATCAGTTTTGTGTTCCATCTCTGCATGCTTCTCTTAACTCGACGTCTTTCGGTTGCTTTTCCAGGTTATGGTGTTCGATGAAACGACTTAATCTTTGTTCGAAAGGTTTTGTTGTGGATGAAAACCAGCAGAAGACAGAAGGAAAAAAGGAAAAAGAAAGATATGTGACCCCCTTTGTGAATATTGCGGGGGATAAAGCATGGGTGTAAATAGAAAAATGTTGTGCATAAAGACCAAGTTTCTGTTTATGAACCTCTGAGAAGGAGAAAAGGGAGGGGGGGTTAATCTTTACGCATGTTGTTGGAAATAACACTAAAGTTATATAATCAATGGGAACAAGTGTGGATTTGAGGAAGCTATTATTTATACTCCATGCATTATTGCTTTTCAATCCTTGGTGATTAATGTTGGCAGCTATAAGTAAATGCAGGGAATAAGAAAGTAGATTTTTCGGTTACAAATGTTATATAAAAATACTTAAAATGTCATTGAAGATATTCTTTTTTCTGTATTACCATTAGTTTTCAATCTATTAATTGATAAATATAGATGTTGACATTGCATAGACCAACTTCAGGGATAGAGTTAGGATTGAACTACAAGGGAGTAAGTTGTTTAATTTTAAAATAAATAGGGTCTAAAAAAATTAGTTAAATCATAAAAATTAAGAGATTAAGGATTTAATTTTATTAATTTTAAAACTTAAAGGTCTTACAAAATAAATAATCAGATATATTTAGAGTCAAAGTTCAGTTTTATTAATTTTAAAATTGATATTGTTTTAAAATAAATCATATTAAAAAAAAACCTCGAGTGAGACAAGAGTTTGTTTGATTGTAATGATTTTAAAACTATCGTAAAATTAAAAAGTAACTATACCATAAAAAGTTAAGGTGTCATTGTCTTTTCTATCTATAACATTTCTTCATCTTGAGATGATCATTTTAATTAATTTATTTTTATTTATAATATTAAGATACGAGCTATTAATCTTACATGAAGAATTTAATACTTTATTTCACTATACCAACTAATTGTTGGTAATTGTCATTGAAGATATTTAATGGGATATATAACATTTGATATTTAATATGCTATTACATTTATAATATTTTGAATATATTCCAAAAATGTTAATATCTTTTTAATTATTTTATATACACAAATTCTATAACATTTAATTCTAATTTTAAAATTTTAATCTTGACGTTTTAGTACTAATTGCACAAATCTAAGTGATCTCGGTGGTTAAGGAATTGTTGTTATTCATTGAGATCCCGAATTTGAGCACCAGAAATAATAGGGTACGAGCGTTCAATATCAAAAAATTAAAAATTATCTTTAAACAAATAATACATTATAATTACTCTAAATTATTAAAAAAAAAGTAATATATTAATTTAATATCCCGTCTAATCAAACACAAAGTGTGTTTTTTATTTGGCAAAAGATACACTATAAATTACTAGAACCACGGACATTACTTGGGTAAATTTTGTGTTTTAAAAGATAAAAGAATTAAGTGGATAAATATGAATTAAATGATTTCAATAATTTAAAAAAAATGATTATTATCTTTATAAATTTTAATTAAAAATATTTTAAATATATTATCTTATAATTATCACATATTAAAAATAAATAAATTAGGTTGTTTTAAAGGAAAGTGAATAATAATGGGTAGTTTTATTTTAGTGGGATAGTTTTGTTTTAGTGGTAAAAGTGGGTAGTTTTTTTTAAGTGGGCACTTCTAAATTCTAAAGATGTTAAGTAATTTTTATTTGGTGGTAGTGAAAAATGATTTAATAAATATTTTAGTGTATTAATGGTGATAAATATCTTTTATTTATTTTTTTAAAATATTTGATCTATAGTGCGATTTTTTTCTGATTACTCACTAAATAATAATAATAATAATTTCACATATTTTAAATAACATAAACATCAGATTAAAATTATCAATAAAAAATCAACCGTTTATAGTATAAAATACAATTTTATTTTAATTTTTTGAAAAAGATATATGGCTCTTGTTAGCAATGAGCTAGCAAGGAAGTCTAACGTGCACCAAGAAGCTAGGGTTTAAGGGGTGAAAAACCAGCAGATTTTTTTAAAAAAATAAAATAAAATAAAAATAGGGTTTCAACTCCTATATAAACTGGATTCATTGTTTTCATGAAATTGCTGCTACCGTATCACAAACTCTTGAACATCAGAACAAATTTCAAAACCCACCAAAAGTTATAAAAACAGAGCAAACAAAAAAGAAATTCTTCAGAAAAAGGAGCCCTGATTTGTTAGTGCATGAAATTGAAGACGCTATGTCTACAGATCTCAATGATTACACCATCATCAAGGAAGGAGAAGCTCAGATACTTATGCATGCTAAAAATGAAGTCTTTTACAACAAAACCCAGGTTCCAAGTTTGTTTCTTTTATATTTGGTTTTGATTGAATTCATTGTCGTAATTTTGATGGGTGACTTTTGGCTTATTGAAAACGTTCTCTTTCTTGTGATTTTGGGTGTTTTAAGTGAATCTAATTGACGGGAGGTAAAAATGTGTTTGGAGTTGATAACTATTGTGGTTAGCTTTTTATTTTATTTTTATGTTTTTCTTTTAGTTAATTGTAAGCTTTTGGTTTCTTTCAGAAGTTCTTTATTTTTATGATTTATTATCGGAAAGATTTTTGGTTGTTGGCTTTGTTGTTAGTGATTGGCTACTGAGAAACAGTGGGAAAAGAAAGGAACCGTCATTGCTGTAGTATAATTATAGTCTTAGTTGTTTGTCTCATTGTTTGTTACTAGTAGAGGATCCTAAATATTTATTATAATCATCAGGTTAACAACAGAGACATGTCCATTGCCGTCCTGAGGACATTTATATCAAGGCGAAAACAGGAATACGAGACATTATTGTCTAAAAGAAACAAATCAGTGGCAAAGGTGTCTGAGAAGAATGGTTCTATATCTCATGTTGAAGATAAAGCAGATGAATCTGGCTTGAATACTGAAATATCGAATGAAGGAAATGATGTGCCTGAAGAGAAATCTCAAGAAGAACCATGCAGTACATCAGAAGAACCAGATAAGACAGGGGGAAAAGTTCGTAGGGAGCTCAAACCACCAAAAGTTCTAGAGGTATTTTTACAATCTCCTGTTTTTCAGATATTAAAATTTTAATTCCTTTCCCCCATTGTTAGTCATGTCATCTTCTGAGGTCTTTTTCCGGTGATGTTATAGGCCTTATCTGCATCTGGGTTAAGGGCTCTGAGATATGCTCGGGAAGTAGATGGGATCGGTCAAGTTATTGCTCTAGACAATGATAAAGGTACTGTAGATGTATTAATGTTAGATGAAGAATCAATTCTGGTTCAAGGGATTACTTGTTGTTATTGCCTTTCTGGTTTCTTCTATATTCATGCTTCTTTTTCCCTACATACAAATACTTGCTTCTTATATATACCAATACCGTGTTTCTAATTGCAGGGGCAGTTGAAGCTTGCCAGCGAAATATAAAGTTCAATGGTTCTGTAGCATGTTCGAAAGTGGAGTCACATCTTGCTGATGCTCGTGTCTACATGCTTACCCACCCAAAAGAATTTGATGTGGTATATGCTCTTTTAGTCTTTCAATTAACAATGTTTAAAGACATTTTGATAATTGTGTATGCTCAACTTCTGCAAAGATAAGCATATGCTAGTTAGTATTTAATGCGTAAATCAAACTTCGTAGAAAATTTCCATCCATGGGAATATTTTGTGTTATTTGTTATCCAAATTTCATAATTAATTGGGAACTTTTATTGTATGTTGGTGGTAATGTCCATGGGGTTGCTTATGCTCCTTATGCTATATTTGTGTTTCAGGTTGATCTTGATCCTTATGGTTCACCCTCTGTGTTCCTGGACTCTGCAGTTCAATCGGTTATTGATGGGGGCTTGCTGATGTGTACTGCTACTGATATGGCAGTCCTCTGTGGGGGTAATGGGGAGGTTTGCTATTCAAAGTGAGATTGAACTGACTTACCTTACCTTAATTGAACTTTGGATTTGAATCTGTGATATCATCTTATAATTGCTTGTGGAAACAGATATGGATCATACCCATTGAGAGGGAAATACTGCCACGAAATGGCTTTGAGGATCCTCCTAGCATGCATTGAGGTAGTTTTATGTTCTTCAGAAAGCATGTTCTTTCTTTCATTTACAACAAAACATACTATATATTACACAAATGTCTTGAAATAAGAAACTGTAATTGTATATTGCAAGTTTTAATACATTGGCTTACAGATGTATTTGCTTAATTAATATACTTTCTTGCCCAAATCTTTTATTTTAGAATTCAATCCAATAACAATCTTCTTAAGTGGCATAATTGGTCTTTCTTTTTTCTTGAAAACAGAGTCACGCGAACCGCTACAAACGTTATATTGTTCCCGTGCTATCTGTCCAGATGGATTTTTATGTCCGTGTTTTCGTTCGTGTGTACAGGTAGGTGGCCTATTGTTTTAATTTAGTTTATTGAAGTAAAATGGCACTATAACAAAATGACGATAGAAGAGCAACTATGTCAATGCAGTTCAGCAAGTGCGATGAAGAATACTCCCCTTAAGCTCTCATATGTCTATCAGTGTACTGGTTGTGATTCTTTTCATCTACAGCCTATTGGGAGAACTGTTTCTAAGGTGTGTTTTCTGAGTTCTCATGCAAATGGTGCCTTTTATTTGTTATTAGCATGTACATGGCTTACACCATTTGTGCATATACATAGTGGATTACTAATTTAGGAACACAAAAGTACACTCTGAGGCCTTAGCATTCAATTGCTTAATGTTGCTATTTGTGACTCATTCATGCAACTTGCAGGTTTTATGGATTTGGGGAAAAATTTAACCTACTTAACTGATAGCCGTACTGCTCACTATTTTGTGTTTGCCTTTGAGTCTTGCAATTATTTACCACCTTTTTATATTATTATTATTGTTAAGAATGGCTTCCGAATGTAGCTTTAGCAGCAGGTTTTCTTTATAAATACTCCCTTATGGTTATTTTTCCTCATCCCTGTATGCTTAATGTTGACTTGTTCAACACATTGATCTACATCCGCTTTCTATTTCCAGAATACCAGTGTGAGGTATCTCCCAGGTTTTGCACCTGTTGTCCCTCTAGAGTGTAGTGATTGTGGGAAGAAATTTAACATGGGTGGGCCTATATGGTCTGCTTCCATCCATGATCAAGAGTGGGTAGCCGCCATACTAGCAGATGTAAAGTCCATAAAGGAACGTTATCCAGCGTATGATCGCATCTCTGCTGTATTGACTACAATTTCTGAGGTATCTGTTTTTTGTTCTCCTATCCTGATTACTTTATTCTGGGTGTACTTTATGAAATAAAGGCTCAATATGATTGGACTTGACCCAAAATATTTCTAATGTGGTGTGTAAGGTATGATATTGCAAAGAAACATGTCATTAGGTGTAAGGATGTTATGTAAGTTGTTTGCAAGTATCAGATGTTGGAATTACGTTGAATATATACGACTAAACTGACCTATTAAAGAAAAGAGCTGTACGTTAGAGATTTTTATGTATGTTCATTACAAAATTTGGGATATGCTTCGCAGGAATTGCATGATGTTCCTCTCTTTTTGAGTCTGCACAACCTCTGTTCTACGCTAAAATGCACTTCCCCTTCTGCAGTTATTTTCCGCTCTGCTGTGATCAATGCAGGTTATCGTATTTCTGGAACTCATTTGAATCCACTGGGGATAAAATCTGATGCTCCCATGGATGTCATTTGGGACATAATGCGCTGCTGGGTAAGGGCTACATTTGAGTTGCTCCTCCATTTACTTTATTTTGTGTTTTCGCCTGCATGCTAGTTATTGAAAATTTAACCTCAACACCCCATGGATTAACTGACCAAGAGAAGTGTGATAAAATGGTTTCATAAGCATTTTTCTTGTTGCCCTCTCTATAGGTTAAAAGTCATCCAGTGAAAGCTCAATCTGCTGATCAGCCTGGAAGTGTGATACTTACCAAAGAACCGGTTCTTCAAGTAATTTTTTCTGCACTTCTCTTTGTAGTTGCATCATGATCCCCCTGCAACCCCAGGCCTCTATGCCATTGTTTTGTGTTTCCACTTGTGAACCGAAGCATTGTCCAACATCAACATGTTCATATACAAGTTGAGATCTAAGGACTAATTTTGTGCAGGCGAATTTTGCACGAGCTGTTGCGTCTCTGAGCAAGGCACAAGCAAAGAAGGTTGCCCGCTTCCTTCCGAATCCTGAAAGACACTGGGGGCCAAAGCTTAGAGCAGGTCGCCAAATCACCACCAAACATGTATCTCTTTTGGGTGAAGATGCCGTAAACGGATGTCTAAACCATCAAGATGGCGAGCGTGATGCAAAACGACAAAAGATAGAAAAGACAAAGGTTGGTGCCGCAAATGGCGTAGCATAAGCTCTGATTTACCGCCTCTGATGGTCTTTTGAGTTGGAAGCCACGGTTGGACCATAATCAGCTTTGCAGAATCAGATTTCTATATGGAAACTATTTAGAAATTTAAGCACGTTGCATTTTTCAACATTCATTTGATCGTAATATGATTTGTCAAATTGTTTAGTGCTGATTGATTTTAAGAATTATCATATGGTTTTTTTATTTAAAATGAAAACCCATTGTTTCTTTCGGGATCTGCTAGCATATTCAAAAGGAATGAGTTTTATTATAGAATGGAAGCAATGCTAATACATTTTATTTATAGTAATTTCATAACATAATGTTAAGAAAATTACATCACATAACATCCCACCAAAATCCAGTGATGAAGAAGAAATCTAAATAATTAAAATGCAATAGGTAATGATATTGTTAATTCATTTTACATGTAGGAAAAGGGGTGTCTTTTTTTCTACTACTTTGCTTTGCCATTTGGCACAGCAGCTCCGGTTGGGTTGAGCTCATCCCAGGCTTCAATCCATGTGACCATGGCATCAGCCAGCTTGTCAAAATAAGGATCAACTTTGCTAAGCTTTTCCTTCACCTGCTTTGCCAATTCAATGTAGCACTTTTGAACAGTGGTGCAGTCCTTTGGAAGGACAGCCTGTTGGAAGAAAGGGATGATCTCTTCCTGCCAGTATATCCCCTTGTACTCCTTCCTAAGGTTCACAAATGGGTTGCTTGCTTTGCTGTGATAGATGTAGGGCAGACCCGTTTTCACTCCCAATCCCAAATGGTCACATATTACCTACAAAATCGTCAATCCGATGAGTCGGTGACAGTGAAGCAATGGACATTTCTATCTCATGCCTAAACAGGATGCAAATGTGATACAAATACATAACTAGATGTACCTTGGTGCACCAGCCAGCCCACATATCGTCGTAGCGTCCAATCGGCTGCCCGTCACCCATGAGTCCAAAGTACATGGAAGGGCCAATCAGTTGACGGTCGAAAGCCAAATTCATTCCACACATGGGGAACAAGGTCCCCTTTGGAATTGTCAGGACCGCATCCACGTACCTGATTTACCATGAGCATTAGTAATTAATCACCAATGATACCAGGAAACACATTGCAAGTTGGGATCATATTCAATACCTAGTGTTCCTCTCAAGAGGCTTCACAAGTTGGGTTGGTGCGTCGTAATCCGGGATGTTTAGCCAAAGGCCGTGAGAAACAGCGGTGGGAACACCCTCACGGAGACTGAACGGGTATCCACGGACAAAGTCCGCACCCTCTCGATACGGGTCGTACAGGGTGTTGAAGAAGATGGGAGTGGACGGGGATAACAGGTTCTTAATGTGCTGCTCGAGTGCATTGATCGCTTTGCCAGATGGGTCCTTAGCTACCTAATAGCAATATAAAAAAAGACCCAAAGCTCAGATCTTGACTTGTAGATTGCTGTTCTTCATGTAGCAGGAATATATAACAGCACAAACATCCAAAATTTTAGAATCTCATAGCTGTACATCGCAATGCAACCAATCACTTAATAATTGTAAGGTATATTTTCATGATCAGGTGCGTGCAAAGCTGCCAAAAGTGCACTCCGTGTGAAGGGAACCTTGTAGACACCATAATGAAGGGCACAGAGCAGATTCAACAAATACGTTAAGCATCCAAATCTCCCATCAAAACAATAAAAGCATTGAACTTTTGACCAAAATAATAGAAACCCACATACTAAAACGCCAAAGGAATTTAAATCAATGTAGAGATCCAAAATTTAGCTAAAACAAGGAAACCCCTGAAAAAGGGAACTTACAAAGCAGTCATCGTCAATGGTGAAAATATAGTTCTTCTTGGAGACCATGTAACCAAAGCAACGGCAAGCAGAGTCCTTGAAGGAAATGCAGGAAGCCTTAGGACCGAGGATCCTATTGATGTCGTTCCTGTTGTAAAGCTCGTAGTCAAAGCCCTCGGGGACCTTGATGATCTTGGAAGGATCACCATCTTGGACGATGATGAGATGGTAAGGCTGGAAGAAAGGCCTCCACATCTCAAGAAAGTCCAAGTTCCTTATGGTTGGTATAACGATGTCGAGCTCATCTTTCAGCAGAGCCACTGCTGGTGCTGCTGCTTGTGATGCTGTTGCAGGCTCTGCCATTTTCACTGCAGAGAAGGAAAAACCGAGAGAGGAAGCGAGTTTAACCTTTTCGCAGGTAAATCGTTAGATGATTACTGATTTGATTTGAGAGGGAGAGCTACTATGCGAATATATATAGATGAGAATGGAGATTGAGAAGTCATGTTAGAAACGAGTTAGGCGGCACGATTAGAGGTAGAAAATTAATTACACGGTGAGACACTGAACATACTGATACTTTATTTTACTTAATGTCAGGCTTTATATCATTATTTTAATTTTCTTTTTAAGTAATATTCAGGAATAGAAAGTATTAGAAAATCATATGAATCGAGAAATAATTGTTATTCTTAGAAATTTCATGTTTGAGCATATCTTTTATAAAGATGTTTGAGGATTAATTGTCCAAAGATTAAAAGTCTATCGAATAAATAATATTTTATAATCATTTTATATTAATTAAAAAATATTAAAAAAAAATATGGTCATACTTTTTAGAAATTTAAATTTGTATATAATTTAACTGTTTTTTTATTTTTATTAATAATCTAATTTCATATCCTAAAATTTTTATAATTTTATATCTCTAAATTTTTAATATAAATTCTTAGATTCATACCTATTAACATAAAATCATATATTCATCTTTATTTTTAAAATTCTATTATGTTATTTCTAAAATATTTTAAAAAATAAATTAAAATAAAATTTAAAACTTGAATCTCCAAAGGTCACACCTTTCTTAAGTATTCATAAATCATATTGTGTCGGTTATAATTTAAAGAAAGGAAAACTGAAATTTATTTAGACGACACGCAGAAGAGCCTACCTTTGTTTTCGAAGGAAATGAGTTTTAACAAACCTTTTTCATTTCTTTTTAAATTGATACAAAACATGATGTTTACTTCATCATTTTCTTCTACTTTTTACATTATCAAATGCTTCTCGTTTTAATTTTATATAAATACAAATTTGAAATGGATTAAAAGTAGCACGTTACATTTCTAGTAACTAGAAAATAAAAGAGGGAAATATATATATATATATACATACACACATAAATAGACATTTCATCCAGATCCAAATAGTTCTAAGTTGGCTCGATTCGATTAGATCAAGAAAATTTTAAGGGTAAGGTTAGGTTAGATTCGAATTTAAGGTAAAATCTTTTTATAAGGTATAATATTGTAATTATCTCATATATATCTAGAAATAAACACAATAATACTTCTATTTTATTTTTTCAATTATATTCTTATTTTAACTATAAAAATAAATTTATATATGTATATTTAGGTCGAGTCAGATCGGCTGTGAATTTCAACTTAAAAATTTAGGTCGGATTTCAGATTGAATAGGATTCTCCTAAACCCCAAATTAGATCGAGTCAGATGAAAGAGTTTGATTTTCGATTCAGGTTCGAATGGGTCAAAAGTTTAACCTAATCTAACTCGTGATCATCCCTAAATGTATAATACATGTATGCATGTTGTTGAATAATCGGGTAAAGAAAACGGAAAGAACACAAGAATTTTAACGGGGTTCAACAATTTGCTTACGTCCTCGGTGCCCTAGGCGATGCTAGAATTTTTATTCAATATCTCATAGGTTTTGGTTACATCTCATTTTATAATAAAAAAACACTGGTACATATTTACAAAAATAACCCTGTCCCTTTACCGGTATATTTATGAGCCATACCTAACACATCTCCACATTAGCAAATATACTGCCCCTTAGGAAACATTCAACGTGGGTTGGGTTACCTTACTTCTTTAACAACTCGAAACATTCAATAAGTCCAAGCAATGCATGAACTTGTCTGTCGTAACTGGCTTGGTGAACATATTAGCGACATTCTCATCAGTATGTACCTTCTGAAACAAAATCTCTCTATATGCAACCAACTCTCTGATCTTGTGAAACCTTACATCAATATGCTTAGTTCTAGCACGATATACTTGATTCTTAGCCAAGTGAATAGTACTTTGATTGTTACAAAGTAACTGAACTCCACCTTGCTGAACACCCAACTCATTCACTAAACCAGTAAGCCATAAAGCTTCTTTTGCAGCTTAACCGCTTCCATGTATTCAACTTCAGTTGTAGATAATGCCACAACATATTGAACAGTAGACTTCCAACAAATAGGCTCTCCACCAAGAGTAAAGACATACCCTATCGTAGATCTTCTATTATCCAAATCACCCACATAGTCTAAATCCACATATCCTACAACCAAAGGATTAACCCGCTAACTACCAAAAACAATTACATGTCCCACAATACCCTTTAAGTACTTAAAGATCCATTTGACTGCTTTCCAATATTGCTTACTAGGTTTAGACATGTACTTACAAACTTGACTAACTACATGAGCTAAATCAGGACGAGTACATACCATTGCATACATCAAGCAACCAACAACATTAGAATACATAACCTTTGCCATATCTTCAGCTTCCTTATCTGTCTTAGGGTACTGTTCTGATGAGAACTTAAAGTGATTCGCCAATGGAGAGTGCTCACTGGTTTTGCGCTGCTCATCGCAAACCTTTCTAGTATTTTCTCAACATAACCCCGTTGAGATAGCCACAGTTTCCTTGAGTCTTTGTCCCTACAAATTTCCATTCCAAGAATTTTCTTTGCAGCACCTAAATCTTTTATATCAAATTCCTGACTCAATAAAGTTTTCAAACCGATAACATCTTCCATGTTCTTCGCAACAATTAACATATCATCAACAAACAGTAACAGAAAAATAAAAGAACCATCATCAAGGCTATTAACATAGACACAACAATCATACTCACATCGCTTGTAGTCAATCTTGATCATATAGGAGTCAAACCGTTTGTACCATTGTCTCGGAGACTGTTTCAACCCATACAAAAATTTCTTCAATCTGCAAACTAAATGCTCATTTCCAAGTTGAGTGAAACCTTCAGGCTTCTGCATGTAGATCTGCTCCTCTAAATCACCATGAAAAAAAGCAATTTTCACATCCATCCGCTCTAAATGCAAATCCCAACTAGCCACCAATGCAAGTATTGCTCGGATTGAAGTGTGCCTGACCACAGGAGAAAAAATTTCATCATAATCAAC